CTGAGTGGGTATATGTCGCGTCAAAGCATGTTTGGTAGGATATATCTAATCTATTGGGTGGATCTGGCGGACGTTGAAATTGTTGAACGTAATTTTAAATGTTCATTTGCCACAACATTTGGAACAAGCACAAGTTAGTTATACCAGTTACTCGACTCCAAAGAGTCAGTAATTCCTTCATGGGGCAATGTATACGCTTTTACAACAAAGTCCCAGAAAATAAGGTGGGTGGACCATGGAAGGCCTTTGAAGGCCAACTATTGAAAAGTCGTAGTTATTGACATGTAAAGACATATTCCTTCTGCTATACACAAAGATCTATCAAACACAAGGCCACAGATGCGGCGGCGAGTCGCTAGCGCCGCTATTGTGGCAGCACGATCTCACGCTTCGTAAACTTTGGTCGTCGACGTTATAATTGTTTTTCGCGCGCACAGCAAAACGTAATTTTTTAGTATTATTATCTTTTTTTTTTACTGTGAATTTCGTATAAGGATATGTTTATGGTACTAAAGGAAAAAAATAGTTTTGCCTCGATTTAAATTAAAATATTGGTAGTGTTCCTAGAAAAGCCGGTGGTTCCTTATAAGACCAACCAAAAATTTGACGGTTGGCCTTGCTAGGGTACCTACATGGGCCTTACAAGGAACTTCTACAAACCATGAACATATGAACAGTTAGGTACTGTTGCAGTTGTTTTATATTTATAATATTTTTATTTATAAGGGTTATTAAACTTTTTAACTCATTGAATAGACATTTTTTCACAATTATTTTATTTCCAGTATATATTTAAATTTCTTTTATGGGAAGGTTATGTTTGAAAATAAACTAAGCTAATTTACTGAGCTAATTTGAAAAGTAACGAACATAAAATATATTTGCATGTTAAAAACTGTAAAGTATGTGATAAAGTAGGTATGTGAGTTAAAGAATCGTTGATTTTGAACAGTCCTGACTTCAAGACCACGGGCGTAGCTAGCGCCGTATCAGCCGTATCAATGATACGAGGCCCCCGGGCTACAGTTTAGTAAACTATTAACTAATCTGTGGCTACAGAGGCCCCGAACGTGTGTAAGCAAAAATTCTAAGGACTTCTATGGGACAGGATGTTGGTTTGAAATGTTTGACTAGCTTAGTTCCTAGGAGTATTAATTGTAAGTAATAACTTATAATCAATATATAATTATTTTAATTCAATGCGAGAGTTTTTGTTCCATTTGTGAAAAATCTTTACCCTTCATTTGGGCCCCTCGACAAATTTTGATACAGGGCTCCTCTAAGGAACGCTACTCCACTGTTCAAGACTGACTATGTGCCATGATAAGTTTGTAATAATTACTGTACTTAGTCTGTAGCGTCTATTATTTTGTTATAATTAATATAAAAAGTCATTGATAATTGTTAGTTTGGCCTTTTTAGGAACATTTTGGCCTTACAAAGAACCGACTCATAAGAAGGCCATTTTAGGTTAAAAAAAAACTTTTTAATTTCATTATAAAACGCGTTGGCAAGTTATTTGATGTCAATATAATACTCATTACTACTATTTTTAAATAATTTTCATTAATATATTCTTAGTTATACGATGGTGTACAAGTAATGTTCGTTGAGTTTTTTATAAATGATAAAAATATACTGAGCATTTAATGTTTCGCTTAAATGAAAAAGCTTATAATGTAGTTTTAGTAAAAGCGGATATACTAATTATTACAACTCTATTTTTAAGTAGAACGACTGATGTATAATATTGGCCTTGTTTGGAGCCGTGTTCCTTGCATTTGGAAGGGCTTAATGAAACTTAAGTTTAATAAATAGTGATTAAAGCTAGGTGAAAAAAAAGTGATTTCTATGGTACACAATAAAACAAATTATTACTTGGTAATTCGTTTTCTTCATTTATTTAGTTAATAAACGAATAAAAAGTGTTTACTCGTTAAGAGTGGCCTTCCATGGTCCACCCACCTTACCTTATCTATCAAAAGGTTTAAAATATTTATTAAGCAAACATTGTCTATTAATGGTTATTTTACTACTAAAAAGTACATGACTGATAATAAGGGAATGAGGTGACCGCTACCATGCTGTTTCTAAATGTTTTCATAACAATTCAATAAAATATTGTATTGTAAATTGTGCTTTTTTTTTAAAGTCCCGCTGGGTTTCTTGATTGATTTTCCCAGGACAAAGGTTGTTTTGCGAACCAGTGTAAAGTAAAAAATGACTTATCAATAATTATTATGTACTGTGTCTATATTGAATAAAAATGATTATATTATGTTATACGAATAGCTTTCATCAAATCATTGTCACCTGTTACAAATCTACTACAGTACAAAGTAGTTTTTTTTTTAGAGGATAGGGTGACAAACGAGCACACAGTTCACCTTATGGTAAGTGGTTGCTGTGACCCATAGACATCTATCCTCAATAAAGAATCAAAATGCAGATGCGTTGTCACCCGTGAGGATTAAGATGGAATGCCTCTTTTCCAGTAAAGAGGGTCTCTAGTTTTCTACACTGACCATACGAAACACAGCAGCGTTAAGCTGCTATTTTACGCTGGTATTTTGTGAGGGCGTGATCCTTGCTCGCTCGAGCCGACCCATTCGCGCTACAACTATACTACTAATATAGCTGCAGCATGGCTCTACCACGTATACGTTTTCGTAAACTGTCTCAAAGCACGGTCTTACGTCATCCGCATTCATCCACTCTCTATATTCTCCATCTAATCGTAATATTTGGTGGTGTACTACACTGCGATTTCCAATTCTCCTTTATCTGGAAAACCTTTCTTCCCCAAGTCAGCGGGCGTCTTTTCTACAAATTATAAAGCTATTTATTTATATTTAGTAGTTTTAAAAGGAAATTGGATTAGAGAAATGGACTAAACTGTCGGCATTTTGTTAACATAGATGAAAATTATAGACTCGCTTTTTACTAGCAGACGTTACGCAAAATTATTGCACTGTAAACATTGACATAAAGTATTTTGATACGTGGTAGAGCCATGCTGCAGCTATATTAGTAGTATAGTTGGAGCACGAATGGGTCGCCTCGACCGGGGAAGGACCACGCTCTCACAGAATACCAGCGTCAAATAGCGGCTTCATGCTGCTGTGTTTCGTATAGTGAGTGTAGAGAACCGGAGACCCTTTTTACTGGAAAAGAGGCACTCTATCTTAGTCCTCACGGGTGACAACGCATCTGCATTTTGATTCGCAAACGAGGATAAATGTAGATGTCTATGGGCCACAGCAACCACTTACCATCAGGTGGACTGTGTGCTCGTTTGTCACCCTATCCTATATAAAAAAAATAATAATAAGCATTTATTAGATGACCAGCGTTCCGCCCCGACTTCGCGCAGGCGATTTCTGGATCTCGGCAACAGCTCCACCTACCGGGTCCAATCGTGAATCTAAACCATCCAGGGACTCACTCGAACACACACAAAAAAATTCATCAAAATCAGTCGAGCCATTTTGGATTTTAGCGAGACTAACGGACAGCAATTGATTTTTATATATAGAGTTTACGAGTAGTTACCCGCCCGCTTAGCTGATAGTCAGTAAACCCCTAATATAAACAACACTGGTTAATCGTCAGCACGACTTGGTACGAAGGTTAGACAAACAACAAAGAAACAAACGTTTAAATAATAAATATTAAGCATAGCGCGCGGCTCTGTTTAGATAATATCATTGTAAGTAATAATTTTTTGTGGTGGTTACTTTATGCTGCTGTATGTATTCTGTGCGTGGCGCAGTGGTTTGCGTATATACAGCCTTCGGAATTAGATGATAAAAATAAAAATAACGCCGCGTACATTAAGGCCGGCCACATACATACGAAATTCCGTTTCGATTTTCCGATTCGTAATTCCGAACGCAGCAAGTCCATATAAAATCTATGACGTACGTACGGTAGCTTTCCGTTGGAAATTTTGCGGGCAAAACGGGATTCCGTATGTGTGTGGCCGACTCGTTCGGAATTCCGATACGGAATCTCGAAACGGAATTCCGTATATATGTGGCGGGCCTAAAGGTCAGTGGACTTTTAGATACAGCGAATCTCCGACTGCGCTTGATTTTATTTAGAATTTGTCCCCAAATTTAGTATTTTTTTAAAAGGAATCTGATAATTAGTTTTTAATACATACTTTACTGTAGCATTGAAAGTTCTACAAATACTTAGAGATAATCAGCACACTCACACGCTTGTCAAGTAGGATAAGTATAAAAAATACTTTATATTATATTATTCATTTCTAAATAAAAAACAGACTATTGAAGACATACCAATTTTATATTCTAAGATACCTCCTTGCGAAAATGGTAGGGAGGGACGGCATTTTGTGACAACCCATACATACTACATGCTGGGTGCCGGTGGGATTAGCAAAGCATGGACATTTAATATTTTTATTCTTTAAGCCGAGCCGTGGTAACTTTAGGCATAAACTCTCGCCTTAAATTTTCATAGCACGCGATTAACCCGAGTTCGAATCTCAACAGCACCATTGAAATTGTTAATAAGAATTTTAAGAGCTCACATCCTTGGCGATGAAGGAAAACGCGACAAAAACTCATTGGGACCTACCGTGTAATGGCGGTGTAAGAATATCCACTGTTTCATATCGTCCGTGGGTGTTGTGCGGGGCGACAGAGGGAAACCAACAAACAAACAACAGCAGCGTCTTCATCTTCGTGTTCGTCTTGTTATTAACAACTATAAAATAAACTGCAGTTGCCAACCTGCATGCCAAGCGTGGCAACTATGGCAAATATCCATCCCATGAGGCAATCTATGGGTGAGGCCAATGTTGTGATAGCCTGTAACGGTTACGCGTTGGGGGGCAGCGCGACGGACTCTTTCTTGCTCATAGCTCCTCAATAATGGGAGCCTGTGTGGGACGTATATATATAGACTGTTACATTACTTTAAATTACATACTTGGACGTTTTGATGACGATGAAAGGCATATCAATTTACAGGGATGGTGTAAGCCCAGCTGAGGCGGCAGCAAGTCTGCCAGCTAGTCCCGGGGCGACATCAATGGTCAAGAAAAAGTCAGGCGGTGCCAGTGAAGTCCGAGAACGAGCTGCAGTCGTCCGCAACCGAAGACTCATGAAGGAGCTCAAAGAGATTCAACGGTTACAAGAGGATCGAACAGACCCGGTATTTACGGTGAGCTACTAACATATTTAAATTAATATGTACTAAAATTCTTGAAACAAAGTCGTATCCTACTAACCCATTTAACTATTTTTTGTAACATCATAAACTTTTTTATTTATACACTTTGTAGTGGCACAGATAATCAATCCTTTTTAAATTATATAACAGCAGAACACATTCTTTTCTAACTTCGTCATGGAATTTTAAATTTCCGTGTTATTTCCGTTTATTCTGACATTTAGAAGTAGGTATAATTAGCATAAACTGAATGGTTTTGGCGGCATAATATGTAATTAATTAAAAATTTTAAGCATTCCTTTAGTAGCTATCAAATAACTAGCAAGAACCTTGACACCTATTGCATCGTCTTGATTCTCTAGATAATTTAATAATAAGGACAAAAATTTCATTACAAATTGATATTTACCAATATTATAAATTTTATATTTATGACGTTGCTACCTCATTTAATTTTTGTTTTTGCCTGTTTTTACTTTTTTATATTTTGTGCTACATGGTTAAACTGGAATAAACGTTTTTCTTTTTTTCTTTCAATAATGAGTGGAGTGACTTACATCAACATGCTTGTTTCAGGTGGAACTAGTGAACGATAATCTTTTCGAATGGCACGTCCGTTTACACAAGATAGACCCGGAGAGCGACTTGGCTGCGGATTTGCGCGAGCTCCACATACCTAACATTCTGCTCCACCTCATCTTTCCTGAGAATTTCCCCTTCGCGCCACCTTTCATGCGTGTTATTGAGCCTCGGATAGAAAAGGGCTTCGTAATGGAAGGTTGGTGTACACATTATAATATTAAGAATCCAATTATCTTTTCATTATTTAAGTGAATGCTGTTGACACTTAAAACATTAATATGACACTTTCTTCTTCTTCTGTTGTCTTTAATTCCATCTGATGTAAATTAAATAAATGAATGGCACAACGTTTTCTGTCACCAGGGCGGTGCCACTTAGGAATCACCTCTCTGACTCTCTCTCTCCCTCCTAGATTTAAAATTAGATCCGGTAGGTCTAATTGTGAATCTAACTACCTTGTTGTCGAGATCCAGAAATCACCCATGCGAGTCCGGGGCGGATCGCTAGTGTGAAATATTTCACAGGTTTCATAGAGGGAAATATAAAGTTTAATGTTTCTTTCCAGAACATGATTTATATTTTATATTGATTAGGTTCCTATTTTGTTAAAACTTACACATATTTAAGTAAAAGAATTAAAAAGAGAGTTAAAATATGCAAACAATTTAAGAGCAACCACTTTTTTTGTGTACATACTCTTAACTAATACTAGAAACCGGAAAAAAATTGAAACGAAGTAGCGTTCAAATAACTTTTAAAAAATAACTTCAATTTCCCAACTAGTGACATCTGGTTAGCGGTAAATTATTAGCCCTCATTAGCCGTTCAGTTTGACTTTGACATTAAAGAGTGATAGGCTTTTTAATGAATCATGTAAATACCATACGTATACAGGATGCAAAAAGGTTATACACTTTTGTAGTATACATGATGCATCGAATAACTGCTTTAAAGTAAGAGTACTTAATTAAAAGCGGAGCAGGCCTTGTTCACAGGTGCTACAAACAACGGATGCAGTGTTATTTCATGCGTAGTTTTACATAGTATACTAGCGATCTGCCCCAGCTTCACTCGAGTGATTTCTGAATCTAAACCCATCCAGAGACCCACTCAAACATACACAAAAAATATCATCAGAATTGGTCGAACTAGTTTCGAGTTTTAACAAGACTAACGGACAGCAATTGATTTTTATATATAGAGAGATATATAATACGTACATAATAGGTATAACAGTAAAAATGTCAAACTAGCCCACAGTCCACCTGGTGGTAAGTGGAGGCTTTGGCTAGGGTTTGCTGCACGTACTTTATAATAAAGTGTTCTACGTTATTTTGGGCAAACGCACTTTATACATTATGAGAACAATAGAAAAGTGAAAATTAGTAATGCTGACGATTTTTTGGATTTAAACATTCACAAAAGTGGTAAAAACTTATACAAAATTGTGTCATTTCTGCTATCCATTCCTTTTTCTCTGACAATTGTTAAGTGTGGGATACGGGAAGCGGGACGAAAGAAACAGTGGCCCTAAACTTAAGCTTAATTAAAATTGTATAAAATATTGTGAATAGTGATACTAATACAGGGTTATTTTCCAAAGAGTAGCCAAACGAGTACGAGTAAATAAGGCTTCTTTTTTTATTTGAAATTATCCCAAATTGAATGTGATTTATGGGCAACAACTACGCGTACGCGCGCTCCTCTGTGTGTGCGATTGAATTCACTAAGTTTTCGCCGACTGTTCGACGTTCGACCGTTACGTAGCAAAATAGTAATGTTAGATATTTAAGAATGACAATCGGTTAAACATAGATTAATGATAAGTCATCAAGATTAAAGATAAGTCATCAAGATAAAAGATAAGTCATCACGAGTTATCATTAATCTATGCGGTTAAAATTATGCATTAACGCATTTTAAAATAAAAAGATAAAAAGGACAAAATGTTTCAGATTTTTTAAATTAATTTTTCTTTACCGTTTGCGTATATTACTTATTCTGTACCTTTGTAAATTTGGCCGGTTATTGCAAAATAACCCTGTATGTTCTATGTTCTATAATTGCTATTTTGAGCTTGTATTCATCTGTGCGGGCTTCGATCAACAATACCAACTGTTGATGTTTCTGCTCGAGCCCACCCATTCGCGCTGCAGCGTATAAACGTTGCGCATGCAGTCAGACTACCCTGTTTTTAATTTCTCAGGCATGATAACTCTTTATTGACTGTGGTCACAGAAAGGATGACGGGTGATTCAGACGCACAGAGGTTTGTCTCTGTTGTGTACAAAATCTCGACCATGTTAGCCTTTGTGTTCTCATCGTTTCAATAAAGGACTATTGGTTTGGGTACACGACATGACTAATAAAGCGCATTCAATAATCGTTTACTGTTCTAATGAATTTCACCCGCCCGGGTCCAAATTGGCAATCACGTTAACTATATGTAATATGTATACGCTTTGTACACGTTCAGTTGCATACTCACTAAGAACAATATTAAAAAAGTTGTATTATAATTTTACAGGCGGTGCGATATGCATGGAGCTTTTAACACCTCGAGGATGGGCGTCAGCCTACACCGTGGAAGCGGTCGTTATGCAATTCGCAGCGTCAGTGGTCAAAGGTCAGGGTCGAGTTGCGCGCGCACCACCGCGGCCCTCCCGAGAGTTCTCCCGGCGTCGGGCCGAGGAATCTTTTCGTTCCCTTGTGAAAACTCACGATAAGTACGGCTGGGTCACTCCCGCTCTCTCCGATGGTTGAATTTACCGAGATGCCAATCCAATTCTTATGGTAGTTTGTCATCGTTTTAATTATAACTTCTATCCGTTGTTGATGAAGTCAGTTTACAATACTCTAAATATGACTTATGTAGTATAAGTGTTGTGAAAAATGTACAATGTACATGCGTTTTTACTTTTTGATGTCTATGTTATTAATTTTCTGGCACGTATTGAAATTTCTCTAAATTAATGTATTAATAATTATCCAAAACACGAATCGGTTATTCAATAGGATAATGATAGGAAAATCGATGAATACAAATAACTCAAGGGCATTTGTGGCAGTTTTTAAACGAGACTAGTGTGTGTTCGTAGTCTTGTGAGGCTGAGGCTGGCTGCCTCACAATAATTACGCCAAATTAGTTAAATAATTTGACATAAAGTTTTCGAAATGATTTTGAAAATATGACGTAGGTAATCAATGATATTATGTATAAGCTATGATAATTAATCCTTCTTTTCATGTAAATTTTCTCTTTACCCAGCTTTAAATCAAATTTCTAGTAGTTAAAACTTCTTACATATGTGTAATTAATAACGTCTTAATACACGCATTTAGTAAAAATGAAAATCTAGCTCGTGTATGTTATGGTTATACAGGTGATACGTATTTTTAGTTTATGAAAATGTACTTAGTTTAGAACAAACATGGTGGATTAATCGTGCAATGGGTAGCAACGTAATTATATTATTACGTAGCAAGTGATAAAATATCTATATTATTTTGCCAAATGAGAATTTACTAAGTATTAAATACGAAATTTAGAACACGTTTAGTGTTAAATAAACGACCTTTTGTAAATAACATTATGTGCCAAACGTGCTAATTTACCGGCGAATTTTTATTTTTCTTTATTTTAAACACGCACATAATATTATGATATCTCATTCATATATTTATTGTTTTTTTTTTGGCTTTAAGTATACAAAAATTACCTATTTAAATATACCAATTTATTCATTGATAAATTCTATCAATAACTATCAATGTTTTAAAGGAAAATATTTCCGTCCCGAAGTCATTTAAATCATATTACAGTGTAAATATAATATTTATATTCAATTAGGGATAAAACTTCTCATAAATCCTGTTTTGAATCAGTACAGTGAAATAATTAAAAGCAGATTTTATTATTTTCTATTGTTTATTAATATGTATTGAAATTCGCACATGATATTGTATATGTATGCTTTACATGTGTAGTTGATTTATGAGCATGATAATTCCAAAAGTATTCAATTGCTCAAGAGAAAAGATATTTTTATTATTACTCCTAATGATAGGCTTGTGCAACACATTAAGATAAAATTAAAGAAATTTGAGATAGTGTTTCATGTACCTACTAGAACTTGATGTTGTTAATTTGTTTGGTAAACCAAAGATGTTTATTTTTAAATGTGTGATTCTAAATTTAGTGCAAAATACGTATATTTATATTTGAATTAAATGTACAATGTTATGGATGTAATAAATTACCTGCTCAAATAAAGGTATTTTTTATTAAACAGTTCTAATAAATAACAAACACAGATTATTTAAATAACCTGATAATAACATTATATTGTCATACTTTGAATGAGCAATTCTTACAATGTGTATGTAAATGACATCTCCAACGATTTGGGTGAAAATTCAGCTTGTATCCTTGCTCTACATCACAACCTCGGTACGGATAATACAATTTCAATAATACAATATAATAAAGTGAGCATTGGTAAACAGGATATTGCGAGCTATTTACGCCTATGAGTAATATAAAGATCAGCAGCAAAAGGAATACACATCGTAAGAAAAAGAAAAACGCAACTCACCTTTTTGCAGTATATTTTACGTCTAAAAGCCTAAGTGCAGGTATGCCTATAGACCTATTCCTATCCAACGTCTCCACGGCGCAGTGGCTTAGCATTGAGTTGTGACGCTGAAGGCCGCGGGTTCCAATACCGCACGGAGCAAGGCTTTTGAATGGCCTACAAACAATTGTTCCTACACAATAAATTAATAAATTAAAAACGGAAGGAGAGTCGAGGTAGCATACTACTATGCAAGCAACCCAAGTTCGCACTATTAAATTTGGTTTACTAAATACACTGTTGTGAAAGAAAACTTCGTGAGGATATCCAACAAAAACTTATTAAAGAAAATAAAATGCGTCCGTCAACTAGGGTCGCCAGATGTCTTTTATTTTAAAGGGCACGTCCTCTATTTCAGACCCTTAAATTGATATATAATTAATAGAGACCGACCGAAGATTCGGTTTCGGTTTGGACCGAAGATTCGGTTTCGGTTTCGGTTTCGGCAAAAAAATCTAGTTTCGGTAATAGTTTCGGTTACGGCAAAAAATCTGCCGAAACTTCGGCGGCGCCGCAACTCGAGTGTTCGTGGATTATCATGCGTCGTTCGGATGAGTTCGTGACTCGTGTATTATTCATAATTATACAGAAACAAAAACAGATTTTTTAAAATTCAATATAGATTATAAATAATACTTATTGAAAGTCACTCTTTCGTTTAATTACCACTGGTTCGAGAAAAACCTCTTTCATAGGAAGAACCAGCAAGAAACCTAGCTGGGCTTTTTTTTAAATAACAACTTACAGTCAGAGGCGTAGCGTGGACTAATGTAAAAGTGGACGAAGTTGCATCAGCGAGGCCCCTTTTCTTCCTTCTAAGGATCTACCCAATAGATCTATTCTACCAAACATGCTTTGACACGAAATATCTACTAAATATAATACTTTTAAATTCCATAGGGTACTGCCAAAAGATATCGTTAAATATTTTAAAACTATTGATGTTAAGAAAACGGCAGACTTATGGGGGATTTCCGTTAAAGTTATTTTATCTATAATAGATACATTAGCACCTTATCTAGCCACTATATTTAATATAAGCGTCGAATCTGGTGTGTTTCCTGATTTAATGAAACATAGTAAAGTCATACCTATATTTAAATCTGGTAGTACATTAGACCCCGCCAATTTTAGACCAATTTCTGTACTACCAACATTAAGTAAAATTTTTGAAAAAATTATTTTAGATCAGATGTTAAGTTTCTTTAATATTAATAAATTGCTACATAATAATCAATTCGGTTTTACAAGGGGTCGCTCGACAACTGACGCTGGAGTTGAGCTTATTAAACATATTTTTTGTGCATGGGAGAAATCAGAGGATGCTTTGGGTATATTTTGTGACCTTTCCAAGGCCTTCGACTGTGTTCACCATGAGACATTAATCAGGAAGCTACAGTACTATGGTGTCAAGAACACAGCGCTTAAACTTATTATTTCATATTTAAGTAATAGAAAACAGAAGGTTATTATCAATGGTAAAAGTTCTTCCGGGTCACCTGTACTAATGGGTGTACCTCAGGGCTCGATTCTCGGCCCATTCCTGTTTCTGGTGTATATTAATGACTTACCTCACCTTGTAGGGGATAGTCATGATATAGTATTATTTGCTGATGATACTTCCTTGATTTTTAAACTTAAACGTCAATCATTTAAATGTGACGAAGTGAATAATGCTATATCAAAATTAGTGCATTGGTTTAACGTTAATAATCTGCATTTGAACGGAAATAAAACTAATTGTGTTAAATTTACAACAACGAATGTTCAAAATCTGAATACCAATGTGTTTTTAAATGGGGAGGAATTGAGCCCTGTTGTATCCACTGTTTTTCTTGGCATCACTCTTGACGCAAAGCTCCAGTGGGGCCCCCATATATCCAAATTAGCAAGCAGACTAAGTTCTGCAGCCTATGCTGTAAAAAAGATTAGAGTTCTCACTAGTGTCGAGACAGCTAGATTAGTTTATTTTAGTTATTTTCATAGCATAATGTCTTATGGGATTTTGCTATGGGGAAATGCGGCTGATTCAGAAACTATTTTTGTTTTACAGAAGAGGGCCATTAGAGCTATTTACAATCTAAAACCGAGAGAGTCTCTTAGAGATAAATTTAAAGAAATTAATATATTAACTTTGGCCTCTCAGTATATTTACGAAAATTTAATGTATGTTCACAAAAACAAAGATAGTTTTAGTAAAAGAAGTGATATACATTCTGTAAACACTAGGAACAAACACAAGCTAGTGATACCAGTTTCTCGACTCCACAGAGTCAGTAATTCATTCTTGGGGCAATGTATACGCTATTACAACAAGGTCCCGGAAAGTGTACAGGTTCTCTCTATTACCAAGTTTAAATGTTTTATTAAGCTGAAACTGTATAAAAAGGCTTATTATAGTATAAATGAATACATGGTTGATAATAACCCTTGGGAATGAGGTGATCGCTTCCAAGCAGTTTCTAAAATAAATTTTGTAAATAGTTCGTAATAATTTATATTGTAAAATTTATTTAAAAAAAAAAGTCCCGCTGGGTTTCTTGCTGGTTCTTCCCAGGACAGAGGGTTTTTTCGAACCAGTGGTAAAGTAAAAAATGACTTTCAATAAGAATTACACATGTAATGTATATTGAATAAAAAATATTCTATTCTATTCTATTCTATTCTACTCATATTTATTAATTCCTGACAAGTATCGTATTCTATCAATGTAACAGTCGCGGTCTTTGAAGGTAGTTACAACGGCCTCGCAGTCGCACTTAAGAGGGGCTTCTTGCGAGGCCCCAAATAAACACACTTAGTGACTTTCTTTTTCGAGCGTAAAAGTGATCAAATTAATAAATCATCTGTGGTATATGGCATCGCATTTTCGGGGGCCTCTCGAGGCACCTTTAAATGCGGGGCTGTGGGCGAGGGCCCACTTCGCCCATTCCTAGCTACGCCACTGCTTACAATCATGTATGTAACACTATTAACAACACAAAACAAATTAGAAATAGCTAGGTAGTGATCACCTCATTCCCAGGGGTTATTATCTACAATAATACAAATAAATAAAATTGAAGTGTCTATTTGTAATATTAAAATAACAGCTTTTTACTAAATGCATATGAAAGTATATACGGTACTTATAACAAAAACACAATTTTTTTATAAGTACCGTATTTTCGGTTTCGGTTTCGGCCGAAACTGACACCCAGACCGAAGGTTCTTTTTCGGTTTCGGTATCGGTTGAATATCCTGTTTCGGTCGGACACTAATAATTAATAAGGTACGCGAGGGACTGAGGGTAATATCTTCACCTTAAGCTTTACCGTCCTATAAAATCAAAACTAGAAGGACAGAAACAATAACACAAAGTCGTATACTATAACTAATATATTAAGAAAAAAAAAATAGCAACCGAGCTTTGGCAATAATAAGGAATACCTACTTCTAAAAATTTACTTTACCAACTACACTACGCAACACTAAAATCGACTAAAATATTTCGTAATGACTCTCGAAAACAGCATGCAGACGCAGCTTAGAAGAGAAATCAGTTCTTTTTATAAGGGCTTTATCGTCTTTCTTGAAAAACAAGATAATTTGTTTCGCTTTCGCTTCGGTTTCTGTTCCATGCTCGTTGTGAAGAGTAGGATCTAGGACATTAATATTCACTGTCTGATTTTCACACACAATAGTTTAACATTAGCATTGAACCAAATGTGGTACACGGGACAGTGAATGGGTTAATTAACAAATTCTCCACTCACTTGGAAAAGCTCTGTTGTAATTCTCACAAGGTACCTTGCAGTTTTTAAGGTGCTGAGAAGCCATTTTAAATTAATTCAGATTGACCTCCGAGACTCCATCAGGTTAATGTCGAATGAAATTTAAACTTTCTTTCTCAAAGCATCTTGTCGCCAGCAATGTCGCTGACGTTGTCGATTTTCAACTTAAGGCAGTCAACAACCACTTTGAAATTATTTACAGTTTTTAAACAGCTAATGGATTGCGCTCACGCTGAAGACTGGAGGACGCTGGAGCTGTTTATCTGTTACGACATCCACATTCTATTCCGCTTCACCAACGACACGGACTTAGATGAATTGCAGCCATAGCACCATAAAGAACTCCGACGAATTGTTAATTGGGTAAAACAAGGTGACTACTTCATAGTAACCTGCTCTAAATTGATACTCAGCAACCGATGAGCCTTGAGACTTGAACTTGAATGGGAAATTCTACGCTAGATAGTAGATACTTCAATGCCGGCAAATTACGTATTGCTAGATGCATGTTAGTTACAGAGAGCCAAATAGATTTAAATATATAGGTATACTAACTACTTAAATGTCTTTGCAGAGACTTATAGATCAGAGTGTATTATAGATATCTTGACATTTCGTCGTTCTAGCTTAATATTTTTCTGGAATGAAAATACTTTATACGTGGTAGAGCCATGTTGCAGCTATATTAGTGGTATAGTTGTAGCACGAATGGATTGGCTCGACCGGGGAAGGACCACGCTCTCACAGAATATCAGCGTAAAATGGCAGCTTGACACTGCTGTTACGTATGGTGTGTAGAGACCGGAGACCCTTTTTACTGGAAAAGAGGCATTCCATCTTAGTCCTCACGGGTGACGACGCATCTGCAGTTTGATTCTTTATTGTAGATAAATATAGATGTCTATGGGTCACAGCAACCACTTACCATCAGGTAGACTGTGTGCTCGTTTGTCATCCTATCCTATAAAAAAAAACTTTAAACTTTTGCAAGTGGTAGAGACCTTTCGAGCTGCGAGGCCGTAGGCGGTCGCCCACTTCGCGCGTTTGTGCCACCCCTGATTACGGACGCAATAACTTTAACGGAAATCTATAATTCTGCAGTTTTATTAACAACTATAGTTTTAAAAATATATGTTATTTTCTGGCAATACTGTATGGAAATCAAGTTTTAAGTATAAGGTGACAGAAGAAGAATTTAAATATTCATTCAAAAAGGAATATCAATTAAATGTTTCTGAAAAGCAGCAACAGCTTCTTAATTTCAGATTCAATTGAATATCCGGTTTGCGTAACTTCATCACAATTTTCATTTTATTAGATGCAGTTTTTCAAATAAGCCCCTCACTAGATTGAGTGTCGGCCTAATAAGGGAAGATACAGGTGGCTTAGCATCGTGCTTTGTTGCATTCCGGAGGGGGGGTATGTGTTCAGCAGTGGAACTGATGCTGTAATGATGATAATAGTGATGATTACAAATAATAACTACAGAAATTATAGGATTTGGGATCATAAAGAACATAAATAAATGTTATTTTTTATTTAAATGTATCCATTTTATACACGAAATGAAAAATAAAATTAAAATGTTATAAATACGAGATGTTAATCAGTCGAGATCACTTTCCCCCTCGCAGCGCTAACACCAGATGAAGAACTGATCCGCCTTGCACTTTGTAATCTTGCGCTGTTTTTTCGTCGTTCCTGTAAAAAAATATATATATAATGTGCCTTTCGATTTAATCGGATTATTTATTTCATTTATGAAATTGTCGATAACTTTGTAGATGTTATAGTGCCGTGACATCTCTGACTGAGCTAAATTTTTTTCAATATGTGAAAAGCCCAAATTCTATCACAGCTGTTACTTTTGAAATTGTTAATTGAACAAAAACATAATGAAAAAACCCTGCCTGTCTGAGAAAAGAATAATTTTTCAAAAAACATGTTATTAAGAGAATAATATCTGAGTTGAGGTTTTTAACAATCTATTGCAGTCCCACTGTGCCTAAACGACTATGTTAGTAAAAAATATCTGTATTTCTAACATCCCTACTAGATATAGAATGAATAAAAAAAATTGATCTAGTGCCACTAATTCATGCAGGGAGAAAACAGTGTAATAGGTTTGTATGGTCTAAACCATTGCATTTATCCAATACAGTGCAATGACATTGTTGCCGTCCACTCGTAAATAGCCCCAACTTATGCAAGCGTCAGGCGTGTCACTTTGTAAAAATCTGAGGTATGGAAAATGGTGGCGCGATTTTCAAATTTGTTCGCATTACTCGTGGGGTATTAAGGTTTAAGAGTTTGCAGTGTATATACTCAACTTATTTATTGAACTATAAGATGTGGGGTATTGAGGTTTAAGGGCTTGCGATTTATTTATATGGGGTTTGTAGTAATATGCGATTTATTTCCTAATTTCAGCTATGGAATTCCATACCTTGAAAAACTTGAGGTATGGAGTGCTCCATACCTTCCATAGTGGAAGTGACACCCCTGGCAAGCGTTACTCTAATATCAAATTTGACAAGTCAATGTGACTAATATCACATTTGACAAGTGCTTTCTAATATTAAGCCACCAAGTTGATTGCAATTATTATAGTATTCGACAATGGTGAGCGTTTACTCATCAATCCATTTATTAACAAAGTGATCATTTTGCACAAGGAATTTACCTTTAAACTAACTTCAAAATGTTTTAATGCTTTTTTAAATTCTGTGAAAAGATCATTCAATAACACACATGCACCATCTAGTGCATCTCCATTCATTATTATAACACACACAGCAAATGACAGGTAAGAGTGCGTGACAAAAAAACCTAAATATTAACACTATTACAGTTTTATATAGAATTTAACAATATGATTAACAAATAATTGTATAACAAAGTTTAATTTTAGATTAACTTTTTTTGGTGACAAACGAGCACACAGTCTACCTGATGGTAAGTGGATGCTGTGGTTCATAGACACCTATATTTCACCCCAATTAAGAACCACGGTCGAGCTGATCCATTTGTGCTACAACCATTTTATAGTTGTAGCGTGGCTCTACCACATATAAAATAAACTTTGCCCACCTTTGGTTTTTGACGATAATCATTAAAACAATTTTCATAGATTTTTTTTACTTTTGACTTAATTCCCAGTTGCCTTATTAAACCAATTATACATTTATACAGCAAGAGGCAATGTGTGGTGCAACATATTAAATAATCAGGACAATGGTTTTTTAACCAAATTTTCAGCATGGCACCAACTTCTAAATTATTTAAAAAAATTGGAATCAGCAATATCAGCTGTGCAGGAGATAATATACTACCACAAATGTATGTGCAAACACACAACTAAATCAAAGGTACGCTAGAAAGTATTGTCAGAAACAGAGAGGAATCACAAACATGGGACAATTTTGATATTTTAGAGACATAGTCTATTGTAGCTCAGATTTAAATAAAATTTGAGAAAAAGATATAACCATAATAATAAAGCTAAGAGTAGGACTGAAAAAAGTCAAGTCATTGATTTACATTCACTATTTGACTACTGTCATAAAACTCTCTCAGCACAATCAGTCTAAACTTGACTATAGTGGAATAATAATAGTGGTAACACCACTGCTAGCAAATTTTAAAAAATATTGATAATAGGAAAATTTTATAGTGTTAGGTTTAATATATTTAGATTAAATTATACTCTTATGTTTACTTAAATATTAAATTTAAAAATAAATGATAATTATTGAAGAAATTATGTGTTTTGAAATCATCAATTTAACTTCATATAATATATCCACAGTCCTGTTACTTTTAAGTTGCTTGTTGACCATAAGTCTTAAGAATAAGGGAAGCTTTACAGGGATAAATTACTCTCACTGCACCATCCTCCGCAGGAGCATTAGTACATGTTGTTGAATCTTAGTCAAAATCAGGCAAAGAACTTTCGTCATAACACTAATTTCATCACTATATCATCAGTATCCGCCCATTAATTACCAAGCATTTTAAAAAAAACCTTGTATGAATTTCAAATAAATCGATACCCACATTTGTTTTCCCGAAAAAATTAGCCGCTGTTGTTGTGGTGGAATGCCTTCTTTTTCTTCAACTCTTTCTTTGATCCTTTCAACTTTATCTGTAGGCTCTATATCTATTTCAATTTCTTTCCCTGTAAGAGTCTGTAAAAAAAGAGGGGTTATGTGCAAAAATGAAACATTATAGAAAAGGTCCTGGTAAGTCTTGACCATACCTTAACTTTAATCAACATGATTACGGCTTAATATTATATATCCACTTATCAATATTATTTTTATATTACTTCAATATAAAGAAAACACCGATAAACTGTTTCTTAATTTGAAAGCATAGATAAATAAATATGTAGCAATATTATAAATGTACCTATGTAGCAGTTTCACCTTTCATAGAGTCAAAGACAAATGATATGCAGTTGTCACTCAAATGCAAATGTCAATGTCATTTGTCGGATGTCATATTGACGGTGTATGTTGGGTGTATGCATCAATAATATAAGCTATGCAGACGACATGGTCTTGCTAAGCCAATCAATCGGTGCATTGAAGAGACTGATAAAGATATGTGAGTCTTACGCCGCGGCCCACGGGCTCAAATACAACACACAGAAAAGTGAAATAATGATTTTCAAATCAGGCAGCAAGTGCTACTCACTACCAAATGTCACACTCCGTGGTAGTAGTCTGAATAGAGTTGAGAAATTTAAGTACTTGGGCCACTGGGTCACTGAAAACCTAACTGATAATACTGATATAGAGCGGGAGCGCAGGTCGTTGGCTGTCCGATGTAATATGTTGGCTCGCAGGTTTGCACGCTGCACAAAACAGGTTAAGGTTACGCTTTTCAAAGCATATTGTCAGTCCTTCTATACATGCAGCCTGTGGGTTAACTATACACGGAGGGCATACAATGGTCTGCGCGTCCAATACAATAATTCGTTGAGAATTATAATGGGATTGCCTTGGTATTGTAGCGCCTCTGGCATGTTTGCAGAGGCTCATGTTGATGGGTTTGTAGCCATAATGCGGAAAAGATGTGCCTCCATGCTGAATCGCATGAACATGAATCTCAGTGTACTAGCGGACAGATGGGATTGACCAATGTTAGGACGTTGGATAAATCTGCATACGGTTAGACACGCCACGACCTAGAGTAGTATTTTATTTTAATTTTATTTAATGTTTTATATTTATTAATTTTAATTTTCTTTAATGTTATAGGTATTTAGATTATAATTTTTTAACAAATATGGATAATTGGACTGAAATAAATGAATTACTATTATTATTATTTCATAAAATAAATTAGGAGTGTGTTCCGATCTACGAGCATAGCAAACTATGCTCGAAGGTGCCGATCGTCCGATATATAGGTACGTTTTTTTTTTGGCGGGAACTTGACTGGCGGCGGTTTGCTGTCCAGTATTATTGTTTAAATAATGGTTTGAAGTGGACTTTGATATGTAAAAGTGGTGCGATTTTGTGTATTAAGTGTCTGCGCATGTGAAATATTAGTGGAAACTGTGAAACAAGTGCTCTGATGGTGATGTGACTCTCAAAATAAGGTGTCTGTCTGCTTATGCGCCTTGAGATACCATCGCCAACCGTCAGCTGTCTGCTGGCTCAAGTTGCCGTCAAAATCTCCCAAGGGCTGCACAATGTGACGCGTCAACATATTGTGAAGCAGTATACTATGAAGGATAATTATTATTATAATATATTGTAACTTCAGGCTCAGAAGGGCTAGATCCCAGAGCCGTAAAGCCAGTTATTAAGAAGATATATAGGTACACATTAGGTTGGCCCCCCTTGCGCTAGCACTTCTTATTCGTTTGAGGCCCCCCCTTATTGTCCCTTTTACTTTTAACTTTTATCCCAAGTTTAATAAATTTTTACTAAATATCGTTTGTTCGATCGCTATTGATGATTGTTCGATCTATATTCTTATAATTATAAATATATTATGATAATATGTATATATTATATAAGAATTTTATGTTTATTTAATCCATAGCGATATATGTGCATCCTGTTTGTATGTGTATCAAAATTTTAACATTTCTAACGTCAGTTTATACTAAATCTATGGTTTAAATACCATACTTATTAGTTTGTGACCATACCATACCACAGACCTAGAATATACTAGCGTAAAGGCTTCTAAGTATTAAACGAAAGGAGGAAACGGCATCGCAAGGCTCTTCTGTAAAAGGAATCTGGTGCCGAATGTCGTCATTATCTTAGATCCTCTTCTCCCGGCAATAACTCACATTATACATTTTTCCCTTGACTCGGGGCAATATCCTAGTCATTGGAAAAAGGCATATTTTAAGCCCCTTCCTAAGGTACCTGCTCCTATCCTTCCCAGCCATTTTCTTCTTCTGCCGTTCCTCTCTAAAGTTTTAGAAGCCTGTGTTCATAAGCAAATCACTACATTCCTTTTGAAACATATCCTACTGAGTCCATTTCAGTCCGGGTTTCTTTCAGGTCACAGCACTACCACTGCTTTAATAAAAGTCACTGACGACAGGCATTTGCCTCCTCCATTTCTTCCACTTCTCTATATATCATAGAATAAGGCCATTGAGTATTATATAAAAATTAATATTTACAAATAATATAAGATTTTATGGAAGATAAATAACAGATATTTATATAAATATACCACTTCCAACAGCATAATATAATTACATAATAGATTTGTGAATATAAGACAAGATATTACGTATATACATAATTTAAATATTACATAAGTTAACAAAAATAAATAATGTTACATTTTTCCCCACTTTTTGGGGGAGATGTCATTAACTTGCAAACATTACTCATTTGCTTGTGTGCGTGTGGGCAAACGTAATTACAGGTCGCTTATGCACACATTCATTGTGTTGTTGCTTCAACTTTGAACGGAATTTTGAATGTCACTATCACTCTATGTGTAATTACTCTAAGGGTGCCGAATGATACGCGTTAAATAAAAATAGATACTCCGCGTCGTGCGCCGTTACGCAAGTGATTGTGCCAGTCAATCGAGCTCCGACCAAAATGTCGAATTGCAGTGTTTTCATGGGAAAAACAATCAGATATCGACAAATCTACAAAAAGACAACGTAACTTTTCATCTGTGAGTATTTTTAACATTTTAAATCATCATTCATACTCTTATTTTCTGAATATTTTCGTCTAATACCAAGTGCTGCCATCATAGTTCAATAAATATAATTTACTACACAAGTTACAATATTAATGAAAATGTATTTCCTATTAACTTAATCAGTTTGTAATAAATAATAATTATTACATAAAGATGTGTAGTGGATTTTGTAAAATGTTTTAAATATTCAGCTCAATTTCAACACAATTCTGAATATTATATAATTTAATATAATCGATAACCAGTATCTATCAAAATATTATACAAAATAAAAGCCAAATGAGTTGAATCGACACTTGCCACCATGCAGCAAAGTGTGCAATTTTTATAAAATAAACTGATATCACTGCAACCGATAGTACTACAATCGTAGACAGAGAATCCAATAGACGGCGGGGTCGCGTAACTGCTATTCTGCCTTTCATTCAGGCATCACAGTGCTGCCATTTTGGCAATGTTACCTATAAAAAGGGAAATGTTGTTTGTGAAGCATAAGTCAGTAATTCTAGACCACTTTATTCACATGTTATTAGAATAGGATAACCAAACCAAATAAAACAAATAGTATGAATATTCCTAATTTTTTCGACGGACTCGCTAATTTTTGTGGTTTCATGATGTATTCTTAGATGAAAATATTTTAAAACAACAGCTTTAATGAGAATTAATGAGCATTCTGTAATTGTCAATATAAGGAAATCTTTATTGATGGGATCAATCGAGTTAAGTAGATTGTATTCCTCTTCGTTAACAAGAGCTTTGACCTTCAACTCTTTAAGAACTTGTTCCAGATTTGCCACTTTTATTTTTAGACGCCTTTTTGTCTAACGAAGAGTACGCATGGTGTGCACTCTTCGTCAGACAACAAGGCGTCAACCTCTTCTCCGACAGATTTTGCTGCTTTTTTAATCTCTTGGTAAGACTTCTTGACGCACCCAGTAGCTGAAACAGAAAGTTAAAATGTTTAAATCCATTAAACCTATTATAGCCGCTATTGATCTCAAACAATAGATATTCAATTGTGTTCATAATGTTACATATCACTTATCATATATATATATATATATATATATATATATATATATATATATATATATATATATCAATATTCAGAAAATCAAAATACATAATGTAAAAGGAAACCAATGTCTCTCAAAAACAACGACAAATAATGTGTTTATGAGTGAGTAGTTCAGCTTCTTTTACATTTTTTTTAAATTTATAGCTAAAGATAACATACGCTACTATTCAGTCTCTGGTTTTAGTATTTAATCACTTAGCCCACTTGTATATAGCTAGGTACTACCAGTTTTTGTAACTGATACAACACAATCTTTTAAAAACTTAAAATCTGCTGCAAATGTGCTTGTTAGTTTCATAAGTACATCATCAATTTGATGCCCATTTTTAGTAATTTTAACTTCCTCCTGGAAAAATAGGACATATTCTTAATATTAGTTAGCATTCGACAAAAAATATAACAACAATGATAATTAAAGGCGCACCGTATTTGGGTATTCCATCACAAAATCATCACACTCAAGTTCTTCTATGTTTGCAACATCTTCCAAAGTGTAAAAGAAATGATGTCTTTTAAATTCCCTTTTATCCTATCATAATCCATCATATTATAGCTTCACACTTTTGTTAACACATTCATTGTCCGATTTTCAGACGCAATAGTAAGACAATACCAATGACCTACATGTAGTGCACGGGACAGCGAAAGGGTCTGGTCAAAAACAAGCCCATCTACTACATAAAAAAACACAGTTAGAAGATTTAAAATACGACCATTTTTAAGCATGCAAACCTTTATTGTATAAAGTGTTGGGACATCCATATACGGATGTGGAGAAAGCGAGAAAGGTGTGTCAGGATCGTGCCAAATGGAAGTCCATAGTCTCTGCCTACCCCTCTGGGTGACAGGCGTGAGTGTTTATTTATGTTAGGACAGCATTACGAAGCAATTCAGTTTTTGTCCTTTTTCGAACTGATCCTTTCAAAGTGCCTGGAGGAAAGTCGAGAGTATTTAGTAGGCTTTCAATTCTTCTTACTGTTTGCTAAAATCCATTTATT